ACTAAAAATGTATCTAGAAAAAGGACAATATAAAAAAAAAAAAAAAAAAAATCTTATCTTAGTCGAATCAAATCCCGAAAAAGATCCTTATATCAAATTCTTAATAAATTCTTACGTTTGTCTTAAAAATGTACGCCAGAGGACGAAAGACGTCGGCTAAACTAAGTTTTCCTTTCTTTTATTCACACACACACACATACACACACATATATATATATTCATACACATGGGTCAATAATACTTTTACAGATACACATCTCTCATTGGCGTCCTTTCAAATTTATACCAATTAGTTTGTTTTTCGTACCCGAAACATTGATGGATTTCTTTGTTTTTAATCTGATATTATATTTAGATTCATGTTATAGTTTTCTAAAGTATGTGAAGTTTACATTTTTATCTATCAAGAACAATTTTAGGTAAAATCTATGACAAAGTGGAAAACATTTTTGTGTGGCTCATTTCGTCCTTTAAGGCTTTAAAGAAAATCATCCTTCGTGTGCATGTGTAGTCGGATCAATGTTAACATCGCTTTTGTCTGATGAAGTCCCAAAGGATGAAACGCGTCACAGAAAACCTTTTTATCCTTTGCAAAAGATTTTCCTGGGTACCAGGTCAGTCCGAACTCTCTAGCTGAGGTTGGCAAACAGTATAAGACAAAAAAAAAATCTCTGCTTTCAAAACCCAGCCAACTGAATCTGTACAAAGATGGTTAGACATCGAGTACAGATACTCTGTCTTTGAAACAAAAGCACTTCAACAACTATGGATAATCCCTTGATTATTCAGAATGCTGTTGACACCAATGGGCGTCGTGCTCAAGGAAGGTATCATTGTATCATATATATATATATCATATGATATATATATATATCATATGATATATATATATCATATGATATATATATATCAGAAAATATCGCAATATTAATATTATTATTTAAAAACATACAAGTACTATTTAGTTGTAATTTTGTTTCAGATGAATATATATATTTATTGATATCATGCAATTTTTAAGTTAAAAATGAACACACACACACACACACACACACACACACACACACACACACACATATATATATATATGTGTGTGTATAAAAATTATTTTCAGAAAATGTATCTGTAAAGGAAGAAAATGAATAAAAGAAAAAATAAATGCAAAGACTAGAGCAAAAATGAATAAAAAACAAATAAAAATATAAGAAATAAAAATAAAATAAAAATAAAAAATGAATAAAAGAAAATGATTAAAAAGACTAGAGTAAAATCTACTCTTAACCGACGGATTTTGTTCTTAAAAGGACTTTGACACATGACATCTTTTCTCTTGTATATAAACACTTGCAACAAAATAAATCCTGCCTTGATAAAATCCATCAGAAGATAAAACCTGCCGGCTAAGAAAAGAAGAATAATCTAAGAATAATCCTGCCTTTCCTTTCATATATATATATATATATATATATATATATATATATATCGTAAGCGAGGAACATAATCCAGATCTCCACAGTGAGTTTTTACACTTGTCTCTACTATTGCACACAATCATTAGTAATTTAAATACAATCACGTTCAACTATGATGCATGGCAACGCGTTGCACATTTATAGATCAGTTAGGTGCACCAATAAAAATGGAGTTAGGTATTTTTATTACAAACATTTTACAGTGGCTATTCAAATCTTTTACGGTGTCTATTTAATAATGCGAGTCTCTTTAATACGCACGTCTATTTCTTGACTAATTTACTAAATATTCCTTCATATACCTATTTGCCAATATACACATACATACATATATATATATATATATATATATATATATATATATATATATGTGTGTGTGTGTTTGTGTGTGTATGTACATATATGGGTACATGTGTGCGTGTATGTGTTTGGGTATGTATTGAAATGAAGAAGCTGATATATGCATGTATATTTAAAAGAAAAAAGATATGCCCATAAATAAGTTTGTGCGAATGCACAATTACTTGCACTGTTTTCTTTCATCGGATATTTACTTCCCTGCATATATACTTGTGAACACCACAATCGCATCGACTGAACGAAGTTAGAAACTCTGACAACAATAACAATAACACAAACACCAAATAATCAATTTTTTTTTCTTAAGGGTATTTTAGTCTGATCTACTTCCAGGATACGAACAGTATTTAAAAAGGATTGATTCTTATATAGATAAAGTTTGTAGGAAGATGAGGAGTCAGGACAAATCTTAGGATAAATGTTTTAGCTCTCAGCCAATAGATTTCGTTCTTTCTGTCCTTCTTTCTTTCTTTATTTCTTTCTTCCTTCCTTTCTTTCTTTCTCGCCTTCTTTTTCGAATCTTTTTACTTTCTTCGTCTTCGCTTTTTCTTTTTCTCATCTTTTCTGAATTCCTTCTTCGTCTTTTTTATTGACTTTCCCTTCGCTCTCCATCTTCTTCTTTCGTTTTAATGACGATTTGATTACATTTTTTTTCTCTCCTTTCTCTTTCATACAATATATTTCTTCGAGTACTGAAAAACAAAGAGAACAGCAGATATTTAAACAGACCTGTTTTAACAAAAGCAATCGGTTTATCTACTGAAAAATAACTGAAAAATAATTAAAAAGAATAACTGTATTGTATGGCGGTATTGAGTCGTATTTTTCCAGGTACAGAGTTCATATTAAATGATATTTTTTGTTTACAGAAAGCTATTTAAAAAAGGGGTTATAATCGGTGACTTTCGTGTTTTGCCTCCTCTACATTGAAACCCCAGAGCACAAAAACACTGATAAAGACCTATGTTGCCCAGACAGCGAGCCGTGATATTATCCAAACGAACCGATACTTTTGGTACCAGTTTGACTCCAGGACAACGCTTCACAACCCACTGACATGTAGTGTTATCTGTCGGGGTTTAATCCATCAGACTTTTCCATTTTAAATGTTATCTGCAAAGCTGCTGGGTAGTAAGCCTATACTGCGAGCTTTAGACGGCCATTGAACCATTTTAACAGGTCTTGATTTTAACCCACCTCACAAAAACGCCTGGTCTGGGAACCGGCTTAGTGGCCGATAAGTTGACTTTGCAGAAGGTCGTACCGGGTTACACAGTAATAGCAGTCCTCATAGTGACCAGTAAGCTCAGACAGCGATCTGACCAGCTGGTAAGAAGAAGACAACACAACATGTACGTACAGATTGAGTGTTCTGTGAATCATTCCAGTTTACCAGATATCCGGATATTTCTCACAGGTCAAGATATCGCCCTACCAATAAAGCCTCCTGTTCTTTGAGTGTCTTCTTTCTACGAGGAAGCCATTCCGTGAGCATTTGGACACAACTTCGTATCTGTCAGTATGAATTACGCGCGAAAGCAATGATTTCACGACTTGACATGATTTACACTATGTCACATTTTATTAAACAAATCAATGTTTTCGTATTAAAACTGATTTTTTTCAGAGTATGTCTTAAATATACCATATGGATTTCAGTTAACTGTTTTTTTTTGTTAGAAATAATTACAATATCGTATTTTGCGCTATGCCATTTTATTATGCAAATAATATTATATATATATATATATATATATATATATATATATATATATATATATATATATATATAATATTATAAAATAAAATCTCACTAAAACGATTACCTGTTTAACCCTAGAACACTAACCATCAATTAAAGTTATACCATTATTAACAATGGGTATATTATAGCCGATTTTGAAAATATCAAAAAAACTATTAAATATAAATCTTTATTTGAAATATTTTACACGCAGGCACTTCGAACTTTGTACTTTGAGTTAATATTAATAGCAACTGAAAAACATATTATTTAGGTAAGAAAATTAGCTACTGAGAACTGAAATTAAAAATAGGAATATTTGCACTGGCTATTATATACCCATGGTTAGTGTTGTATGGTTAACAACTATAGACATACAACCACTATAAAATCTCATAAATTAAGATATAAACCAATCAGTATAATATGTTGTACGAAAAATTTGATTGTGACTGTTTTTTTCTTTCTTCAAAATGAATTTGGCAGCAAGGCCTCTGATCGGATGATTGGATATTTTGAGGAGCGTAGAACCACCTCTTAATTGCTATTGTTCCCAGATCCACTCTGACTCGGGGTGGTAACACCTGTTAGGGTCCCAGCTATGGGCATATTATGAACCCCGCCAAATAAAAACAGATCACTATGAAAGTATAAAGATAGATGTTTTGTTGTAAAAATACAAGCAATACATCTTTATGTATATAAAAATACCAACAATATATATTTGTAGTGAAATTACCTAATTTATAGCAAAGTTACCAACAATACATTTCATTTGTAGTTGAAGACATACAATGGCAGTCAAAATACTTAGATTTCGGCATGAAATAACCCCGAGATGTTGATATGCCGCTAAAAATATCATCCAACCAAACCAAAATAAAACTTCAACAAAATTACAGCCTAAAACACGCAAATCACCGCATCTAATGATTATGTCCTCACAAACATGTATATGCACAAAAGCTGAGTATCATCTACCATGTATTCAATTGTGAAAGCAGAATAATTTATTACTCCAAAAGCCGATGAAAATTAAATTTTGGCATCAAATGACCCATAAGGAGTTGATATGCCGTTAAACAAACAAATAAAATAAAATAAAAAATATCAAAAATTAAATAAAGGGAAAAATAAATAAATATTTACTTGTACTGTATGATTTATAATTTATATAATAATAATAAATAATAAAAAAATTATATAATAATAATAAATTGATATAATAATAATAAATTTATATAATAATAATAAATATTAATGAATTTATATACTAATAATTTTTATATAATAATAAATAATAATAAATTTATATAATAATAATAAATTTATATAAGAACAATAAATGTTGATAAATTTAGATAATAATAAATAATAATAAATAATAATAAATTTATATAATAATAATATACAATAAAAAATTTATATAGTAATAAATTTATATAATAATAGTATATAATAAAAATTCATATAATAAATATATATATATATAATAAATTTATATAATAATAAATAATAATAAATTTACATACTAATAATAAATATTTATAACAATAATATAAAAAAATATATTTATATAAAATAATGAATTTATATAATAATAAATAACAATAAATTTATATAATATTAATACATAATAATATAGTTATACAATAGTTATAATAAATAATAAATTTATATAATAATAAATAATAATAAATTTATATAAAAATAATAATAAAAATAATAAATTTATATAATTTACAATGCGCAAACGGAAGTAATGTGCAGAATAAAGAGCGGATTTTTTAATTTATTTATTAGATTTACTGTTTAGCATTCGATTGCATAAACATTTAGGAATAAATTAGAAATGTTACAAATGGTGCAAAAGTAACATTGGAGCTATTTAAAGCTGGTTGACACAAATCCATTACACATGTAATATGCCGCAAATAGCGGTCAGGTACAATTTCTCAGCTCGTTGAATCAGAACCTGGTTGTTAAGTAAGAATTGACTGTATAGTTATGGACATTTTTTTAAAAATTTCTGACATATAAAGATTGCCATGGGTCATAATAAAATGCAATCTCAAAACAGAAACAAGAAAGTTGTGAAGTTATAGGATGAGTAGGACAAGTCATTAGGAATCGTAAAAATAAATTGAATCGAGTTCACAAAATAGTCAATAAAGAAAACGAAAACATTGGCAAGATATGAAAAATAATATAAAAAAGCAAGAACAATGAATTAACAAGTAACATAATATTTCAAGAAGCTGGTGTTCTGAATGTAAACAGAAAGCAAAGATGGAGAATATGAAGAATATTGGCTAAAGATATGAAAGCAGTCAAACTGCAGTTTTTAAGTAATTATCACAAAGAGAAAAATGTCAGTTTAGCGAAGAAGTACATGAAAATGATTTCTCAGCAGCAAATTTTACTGATGAATGTTGAGCCACATTGGATGAAACTTATACCTGAGCTACTAGTTGTGTTCTTCATAGAAATAGTGAAACAATACGACTGGAAACAGGATGGGTGGAGTAGGAGTCCGCCTGTTGTCCAGTACACATTCCCTTCGGTTTTTTGAACAGGAGTAGAGGGTTATCCTTTTTTGTCCTATTTAGGATTGAGTTTGCGGTTCCTTCTGAATTTTTTCCTTTCGCTTTCACTTCATGTAGCCATCTTTGTGTCTTAGTGGCGATATCGTCTTGTTTGGGTTGTTAGCGTTTTGGATTAGTTGATTGTTTGATTTTGTTTAGCGGCATATTAAACTCTATGCCGTATCTAAATATTTTGATTGGTTTGATTGGTTGATTTTGTTTAGCGGCATATTAAACTCTATACCAAAATCTGAATATTTTGATTGGTTTGATTGGTTGATTTTGTTTAGCGGCATATTAAACTCTATACCAAAAAATCTGAATATTTTGATTGGTTTGATTGGTTGATTTTGTTTAGCGGCATATTAAACTCTATACCAAAATCTGAATATTTTGATTGGTTTGATTGGTTGATTTTGTTTAGCGGCATATTAAACTCTATACCAAAATCTGAATAATTTGATTGGTTTGATTGGTTGATTTTGTTTAGCGGCATATTAAACTCTATACCAAAATCAGAATAATTTGATTGGTTTGATTGGTTGATTTTGTTTAGCGGCATATTAAACTCTATACCAAAATCTGAATATTTTGATTGGTTTGATTGGTTGATTTTGTTTAGCGGCATATTAAACTCTATACCAAAATCTGAATATTTTGATTGGTTTGATTGGTTGATTTTGTTTAGCGGCATATTAAACTCTATACCAAAATCTGAATATTTTGATTGGTTTGATTGGTTGATTTTGTTTAGCGGCATATTAAACTCTATACCAAAATCTGAATAATTTGATTGGTTTGATTGGTTGATTTTGTTTAGCGGCATATTAAACTCTATACCAAAATCTGAATAATTTGATTGGTTTGATTGGTTGATTTTGTTTAGCGGCATATTAAACTCTATACCAAAATCTGAATATTTTGATTGGTTTGATTGGTTGATTTTGTTTAGCGGCATATTAAACTCCATACCAAAATCTGAATATTTTGATTGGTTTGATTGGTTGATTTTGTTTAGCGGCATATTAAACTCTACCAAAATCTGAATATTTTGATTGGTTTGATTGGTTGATTTTGTTTAGCGGCATATTAAACTCTATACCAAAATCTGAATATTTTGATTGGTTTGATTGGTTGATTTTGTTTAGCGGCATATTAAACTCTATACCAAAATCTGAATATTTTGATTGGTTTGATTGGTTGATTTTGTTTAGCGGCATATTAAACTGTATACCAAAATCTGAATATTTTGATTGGTTTGATTGGTTGATTTTGTTTAGCGGCATATTAAACTCTATACCAAAATCTGAATATTTTGATTGGTTTGATTGGTTGATTTTATTTAGCGGCATATTAAACTCTATACCAAAATCTGAATATTTTGATTGGTTTGATTGGTTGATTTTGTTTAGCGGCATATTAAACTCTATACCAAAATCTGAATATTTTGATTGGTTTGATTGGTTGATTTTGTTTAGCGGCATATTAAACTCTATACCAAAATCTGAATATTTTGATTGGTTTGATTGGTTGATTTTGTTTAGCGGCATATTAAACTCTATACCAAAATCTGAATATTTTGATTGGTTTGATTGGTTGATTTTGTTTAGCGGCATATTAAACTCTCTACCAAAATCTGAATATTTTGATTGGTTTGTTTGGTTGATTTTGTTTAGCGGCATATTAAACTCTATACCAAAATCTGAATATTTTGATTGGTTTGATTGGTTGATTTTGTTTAGCGGCATATTAAACTCTATACCAAAATCTGAATGTTTTGATTGGTTTGATTGGTTGATTTTGTTTAGCGGCATATTAAACTCTATACCAAAATCTGAATATTTTGATTGGTTTGATTGGTTGATTTTGTTTAGCGGCATATTAAACTCTATACCAAAATCTGAATATTTTGATTGGTTTGATTGGTTGATTTTGTTTAGCGGCATATTAAACTCTATACCAAAATCTGAATATTTTGATTGGTTTGATTGGTTGATTTTGTTTAGCGGCATATTAAACTCTCTACCAAAATCTGAATATTTTGATTGGTTTGATTGGTTGATTTTGTTTTTAGCGGCATATTAAACTCTATACCAAAATCTGAATATTTTGATTGGTTTGATTGGTTGATTTTGTTTAGCGGCATATTAAACTCTATACCAAAATCTGAATATTTTGATTGGTTTGATTGGTTGATTTTGTTTAGCGGCATATTAAACTCTATACCAAAATCTGAATATTTTGATTGGTTTGATTGGTTGATTTTGTTTAGCGGCATATTAAACGCTAAATATTTTGATTGGTTTGATTTTGTCTAGAATCATATCAAACTCTATGGGTTATTTAATGCCGAAATTTAAATATTTTGAACAACTAAATATATTCAACTAAATATATTTTGAATGAGATTGCATGTCTTAAACGAATGATAAATGTATTGTTGGTCATTTTTTTTATAAAATGTGTCGTGATTAATTCTACTATAAAATGTATTGTTGGTCATTTTGCTTTGAGAATGTATTGCTGGTAATTTAATACAAATATGTACTGTTGATACTTTTTTTTTAAAAATATTAAATGTATTATTGGTATTTTTATTATAAAAATGTATTTTTATACTTCAGTATCATTTGCGGGGAGTTTGGTGTTCACTATTTGACCAAAGTTGAAACATTAACAGGTGCTACCCCCAAGTTTTGGGTTAGTATTGTAGGTAATAAAATTATATATTTCCACAAAGTTGATCATTATAGGTTTCATCAATTATAGGTATCTTTAAATTTGATAATTCAGTTATAGGTGTCTTCACAATTGATTATTATAGGTCACTTCTATTTTAGGCCTCATCAAAGTTGATAATTATAGGCCCCTTCAAAGTTGATAATTATAGGTACCTTCAAAGTTGATAACTATAGGTTTCTTCAATTATAGAGTACTTCAAAGTGGATAAGTATAAGTTCCTTCAATTAAGGTTCACTTCAAATGGATAATTATAGGTCTCTTCAAAGTTTATTATTATAGATATCATTCAAGTTGATAATTATAGGTCTGTTCAATTATAAGTCTGTTCAAATTTGATAATTATAGGTCTTTTCAATAAAAGATTGATAATTATCGGAGTCTTCAATTTTATATCTCTACAAATTGGGTAATTATAGGCAACTTCAATTATATGCCACTTCAAAGTTGATAATTATAGGTCCCTTTAATTTCATGCCGCACTAAACTTGATAATTATAGAACCCTTCAATTTATAGGTCCCTATATATTTATAGGTGATAATTATAGGTTGTTTTAAAGTGAAGAATTTTAGGTGCCTTCAATTATAGGTTGCTTTAAAGCAGATTTTTACAGGTCTCTTCAATTATAGGGCTCTTAAAATTGATAATTATAGGTCTCTTCAATTATAGGGCTCTTCAAATTGATAATTATAGGTCTCTTGAATTATAGATCTTTAATATTGATAATTATTGGTCTTATCATTTGATAATTATCGGCGATGATGATGGGATGTTTTAGTTTGGTTTTTTTTATTTTTGCCCCATATATATATATATATATATATATATATATATATATATATATATATATATATATATATATGGATATGTGTGTGTGTGTGTGTGTGAAAAACTTCTCAGAATTAACCTGTAGAAAAAGACAAAATGTATAAAGGTAATATATATATATATATATATATATATATATATATATATATAAATATAGAGAGAGAGAGACAGAGAGAGAGGGTAGAAGAAGAATTTTTTAATCCTAAGCAAGACAAGAAAGCCACGAAGATGTAAGGTGCTACCTAGAGTGAAAGAAACAGAGAACAAGATTCAAAGAGACAGAAAATGAAGATGGTCATTGCGTTTCACTTTTTGAAAATTGTAATTGAGAGGAAAGCAAGAAGCCGCAAGGGAGTCCCACAAGCGAGTAGTGCGGGAGAAGGAATTATTAGCGTAGAAACTACAGTTGCATCTAGCAATTTAACGTGTGAAATGATGAGACCTATCTGCCAATCTAGCACTACGTTTATATTCGTGAAATCGAAATTACCAAAGAAGTAAGTTCCTCACAACAATTACCGTGAACAATATTGATAGAAATGGCACAGCTAATCTAAGTTACTTGGGTGGAAAAGTGACTGAAGCTGTGATGCCAGGTTAGGACCGATATCTATCTACATTCTTAGAATTTGGTCAGGAATCTCTAGATGTATAGCAGAGGCACAGGACTAGATGTGGCAACAATAGTCGATGCATAGACAAATGGTAGATTTACAAATGGGTAAGATTGATTCTATCAAAAATAAATTGTGTGTGACGACATACTGAATAGATATTTTTGGCTGCAGACCTAGCAATTTGTTCAATATAATTGTTCCATTTGATGCCAATGAAAAAAATTTTATTTTTAAGGTGACGCAATTTGTCACCATTGGGGGGTTTTAACAAACAAATTGATGGCAAAAAAAAAAAAAAAAAAGTTTCTCTAACACGATTAAAAGTGAGCAGTTTAATTTGGGAGACATTAAAATTCCACTTCTTGCACCAATTAATAACAGATTGAAGGATATAATTATAAAGAGAGATTAATAAGGAGAATTAAGAAGATAGGTTAATGAGGATAATTATGAGAATAGATTAATAAAGATAATTATAAGGATAGATTAATAAGGATAATTATGGCAGGAGATTAATAAGGATAATTATGTTGATAGATTAATGAAAATAATGAGGATAATTATTAGATAATTATTAGAATAGATTTATAAGGATAATTATGGCAATAGATTAATAAGGATAATTATGAGCTTAGATTAATAAGGATAATTATGGGAATAACTTAATGAGGGTAATTATAAGGATAATTATAAGGTTAGATTAATGAGGATAAGTATGGCGATGGATTAATAAGGATAGATCTAAGGATAATTTTGGGGATAGATTAATAAGGATAATTATGAGGATAGATTAATAAAGATAGATTAATAAGGATAATTATGAGGGTAGATTAAAAGGGATAATTATGAGAATATATTAATGGGGATTATTATGACGATAGAAGAAGAATAATTATGAAGATAAATGAATAAAGATAATAATGAGGATAATTCTGAGGGTAGATTAAAAGGGATAATTATAAGTTGAATGTCACAACATACATTGCTCATATAAAAATGTATATACGGATCATTTTGCCAACATCGGTTGATCAATACCAATTTCAGTGGGAAAATATTGATTTTCATAAAGAAAATCATCTGATCCATTGTATCTTCAGATACAGCCTCTTGTTTAACGAGGATAATTTAGAATATACCTATTAATCGTGTTTTTCATCTTCAGAATAACAAAAGTCTTCCGCTAAGACATCAAGAACGTTGTAAACAGAAAAGAAATACTCACGTGGGAAGTAGTTTTATTTGATTTATATTTCTATGTAAACGTCTCTGAATGAAAAAAAAAAAAGCTTAAATAAAAGAAAATACTTACAGAATCGTCTTCCGAGTCCTCTTGTACGTTATTAAAATAGTCTTTTCCAAAAAAACAAAACAAAACATAAATTATTTAAATTCAATATATCTATATATATATATATATATATATATATATATATATATATATATATATATATATATATATATATATATATATATAAAGCTTAGCCAATTGAATTCGAGGATACCCATCTATTAGGGCAGCTGGCCACTTCCTATTGCAGACTCTCGCTATTTTATACATTTTTTGTTTGTTCAACACCCACAGAAGTCATCTATGGTTTATATGCAAGTTATGCTGAGCAGACCTTAGTCACAGTTTCTGGGAAAGAGCGTACATTATCTAGCGTGTTCAACAATTTGAACAACGCTGATGTTTCATTTAAAATCAACCACGATGACTTCATGGCTGCGTGCTTTCACAACTAAAATTTAAGGCCCCAAGTGCTTTTTCTAGCCAATTTCAATCACAATATATAAACCCTAACCCTTTGTTTTCAGAATTTTATATATATATATATATATATATATATATATATATATATATATATATATTTGCTCAATCGGCTTGAACGTTCGAAAAAAATTTTTAAAAGAAAATTAAGCTCTCTGACAGGGATCGAACCTACGCCAGTCTGGACAGAGGAAACTAACATTAATAGATCCCTCAGGGGAAAAAAAACAAACAAACAAAAAACAAAAAAAAAAAATGACTTTCTTTAGAAAATTCTCTTTGTTTATGTTTGGATACAAAAAATTTAGGGAGATCTATGTCGAGCTAAGTTCCTTTCAAAAGTACAATTTCGCCCTTGCCTGACTGTTTGATTTTCTGTAGGTCAGTTGGGGCGCAGGTTCGAATCCTGCCACAGTGCGTATATTCCAAACAAAATAAAATTTTTCTCGAACATTCATATCAAAATAAAATAAATAAATATATTGTATAATAAATAAACGGAGCGTCTACTCAGATACGAATAGACACTAAAAATAACGTTTAAAGTGATAAAAAATCGGGCGGACTAATAAAACCAACAACAATTTTTTTAGAGAAATATATATATATATATATATATATATATATATATATATATATATACACCGGGTGTAATAGCAAAATTGTCCAAATTGTGTAAAAGCAAAATTGTCCATTTGTTAGATTAAGCTTTGAACCGTTGTAGCTTAGAAATGATTAAAGTTATTTTACTGGAATTCTCCGAGTTTTTTTTATAACACTATTGAACTCTACTTTGAGCAATAAGAATGTGTAATTACTCTCCAAGTTTAACAGAAGAATCGTGATGAAATTGATCATAAACGAAAATGACATGTTCATCATTAATTAATCTTATCTAAGGATTGGAAGCTCATGAAGGATAGAAATATTGAAATAAATATATATATATATATATATATATTATATATATATATATTTATAATTTATTCAACTTATGATGATTTCCTCTCTAACCTTCTAACTTTCTGTCCTGGAGTAACAAAAGGTGCCTCACAGGTTTCACGTACGATTTCATTTTCAAGTTTTTTTTTCACTGCTCTTTGGACTGTCGTAGCTGAAGCACCTCTTCACGTACCAAAAGTCTTATGAATTGAGTTGGATCTTTTCTAATTGATCTCTTTCGCTCTAAGTTGAAATGATGGTCCCTCTTCCTGTTGTGACCTCCTGATCCAGTTTTTCTCTCTCTACTGTTTCCCTTTTTTTTAAACCTATTCACCGTTCTCTTGATGGTTCTTGAATGGACTTTGAAGATGGAAGCCAGAGTATGAATTTGGGTACCATTACTGAAGGCCTGAATGATTTTTTCCTCTCAACATTGCTCATTTGGGAAGACAGTGGGGCTGACACAAAACGATTTTAACCTGTTCTCTTTCTAGCTGAATAACTCAAAGGGTTTTTCAGTGATTCTTATGACAAATGGTGTCAAGATGGCTAAACGTCTTATCTGAAAACCTGGAAAAAAAAAAATTAGTTTAGTTTTTTTTTTTTTTTAGATATTAAACATTTTGTGGGATGGACAATTATGCTGTTACATGATTTGGACAATTTTATATATATATATATATATATATATATATATATATATATATATATATATATATATATATATATATATATATATCCAAATATAAATATGATTATATGACTTTAGATATAAAAACTGGCCCTGCCCTTCCTATATTATATTTAAAATAAATGGATATATAGCAAAATTTATATCGAAAGAGATGACGAAATTGTATAAATAGATATTGAACAAATACAGTATTTGGCAAAATAATAACTTTTTTTTTATTATTTAGAACAAAAAAATTTAATTAGATTTTAGTTTAAGATAATATTTATTTTTATAATCATAAATATTTACATTTTTAATATTTGACTAGGTTTAACAAACTATTTAACAAATTCATTTTATATTTTATGTTCAATACAAAACTGAACCCATTAGCAACACTTATGAATTTTTTTTTAGAATAAATAAATTATATAATTTATTTTAAATTAAGATACACTGTTTTTATTTTTTTCTTAATTTTGAATTTCAATATATTCCAATTACATCAAATTCTTCAAACCTTTTGTTTAAAAATTAAAAAATTAAAAATTTCAGCTGTCTTTTCTGATTCTAAGAATAATATTATTTTTATTCCATTTTTATCCAAAAAAAAAATTCATTCTTCTATTTTATCAAAGAAAAAAAATTGAATTCTATTTATTCTAATTGTTTAGTAAATGATATTTTTATTTTTATGTTAAAATTTTGAATCTTTTTTATATTTTTTATGGATTTCTTCAATTCATATAATAGAATAAAAAAAAATGGAAAATTTTTCAGAAATAGACTTTAAATATTTCCAAATTAATTTAATATAAATATATATATTAAAAAAAAAAAAAAGTAACGCCTTTTTTATTCATTTTTTTTCATTCAAAAAATAAATTTAAAGTTTAAAATAATTAATTATAAAATTATTTTTATAAAAAAGCAAATATGATTTGTTATGATTATTAAAAACAATTTAACAAAATTTCAAAATTCTTTTTAAATTTTCAATACAATTTAAAAAGAAATTCAGTTCTATAACCTACAAACCATTTGATTTCATTTCTTATTAAAAAAAATAAAAAAATATCATTACAAAAAATAATTTTTTAAAATCCGAATTGTTTTCAAAAAATCTAAAAAAAAAAACATTTATATTATAAAACATTCAGAAAAAAATTTTGGGGATTTAGGCCTGGTATATAAAAAAATGTCATAAATTGCTTCAATCGTCAAAATCAACTTCATAAATTAAAAAGAAAGTTTGCGTTATTTTTAATTACTCTTCTTAAAAATTACTATTTTCACCCTCGCCTGTTTTTGTTTTTTCAAAATTCAGAACATAAATTTGTTAAAAAAAAGATGGTAAATAAATATCCAATAAAAAAAAAAAATTTTTTTTTCATTATTTATTCATTTGTATCCAATTTAAAAACATTAAAAAAAAATTTTTCAATAAAATCTATATATGACCAAATAAATTTCCATTATATAATCAATTTTGAGAATAAAATTTATTACAAAAAGAAAATTTTAAATGAAAATTATATTTAAAATAATGAAAAAAATTTGTCAATATTTCAATATTTTTGTCTTAAAGACATTTAAAAAAAAATTATGATTAACATTAAGACAAAATTAATTAAAATGTTTTAACAAACCAATCTGAAATATAAAAAAATGTTTTAAAAGTTATATAAAAATAAAAAGAAAAAATATGAATAAATTTTTAAACACATTCAAGCCAATAATATTTTATTCTCTAAAAATAATACCAAAAATTTAATAATATAAAATGAAACTCTTTTCATATGAAATTAAAACAGATAAAAATTCATTTTTAGACACAAATTCATAAATACATAAAATATATTATAAGGAAAATAAACATAAAATTTCTTAATAAAAACGTCTAAATTTAAGTGAATGACTTAATTAATAAAAATAAAATATAATATTATAGTTAAAACTTGAAGTAAGTTTTGTAAGAGAAATAATTATTAAATTTATAAAAGGAAAACCATTTTTTAAATTTAAAAAATTTTTGAAACAAAAACCATGGATTTTTCAAAAAAACAAACACATTTAAGAAGTCATTGCCTCATTATTGCATTCCTTTTGTTTGCATTTTAATGCGTTTTACCATATTTTTGATAAAAAAAATATATACTTTAAAAAAGTGAAATCAATATTTATAAGATGATACTGAAATAAAATGTTTTTGGAAAAGTATTTCGCTCAATTAAATCTTTTTTCAAGTTTTTAAATTGGCATTTCAATTTTTTTTTTTTTGATTTTTTTTTATAAATTTGGAATATTTGTGTTGTTTCAAATAAAAGAAAAAATGAAAATTCTTTGGATTAATCTTATAAAAAAAATATTTTTTTAATATAATATAAAAGAAAATATAAAATAATTTAAAAAAAATATAAAAAAATATAAATTCATAAAATATATAAACATTAATATAAATATTTTTTTATATATTTATTTATATATAAGCCTGGCGTCTTAAATTAGTGGATTTTTTCGAATTGTTGAAATGATTAAAAATTGTTCTGAATATATAAATGTGTGTAATATGGTTTGTTATATTTTTTTAATATATAATCCTCATGAAAAGATGTTTAATAAATAATTTTTTTTTTTAAAAACCCTTTTCATATTTTTTTAAATTTTATTTTCCTCAAAATTGTTTATATTGGAAAATAGTATATGTATTTTTTAAAACTAAAACAATTTTATTTCGATCTATATATTTTAATATAAGTTAAATAAATGATTTCTTAAATTTATTTAAAAATATTATTTATAAAATATAAAATATATATTTGATAAATTTCTTCAAATTTTGAATTTCAAAACCAATAAAAATTCGTTTAGAAACGCCTAGTTAATTAGAATATTGGATATATATGATCAATGACAATATGCTTAAGGCTTTTTGTTTCACTGAAAAAATGTTATTTCTTATTC